AAGAAAGTTTGGGAACCTCTGGCTTAGAAATCACTTCTACTCTTTTCATTTGGCCAGAAATCAGTCATATGAGCCTAAGCTAACTGCAAGGGAGGCTGAGAAATACAGTTTTCCCCTTGTGAGCACATCCACTGCTTCTGCCCCAGTCTGTCCTGATAACCACACCCTTCCCTTCTTCCCACACCACACGTTGTACATACTTTCCCCAAGGGAGACAGTCCGAAGTCTGATTCGATCCATGTTCCCAGCTCAAAGTCCAGGGTCTCTGGGTTGGAAGTTTGAGTCCATGGGAGCAGCAGGTCAATTTGTGGGCTTCACGGAAGGGTGATGGGGGTGTTCACTTAGATTTTGCCTTTGGGACCCTAAATGTCAGTGTCTCTCAGTCCTTGCAGCAGTGTTATTTCTTCAGAAGGGTCTACAGTTTTTCCAGGGAAGGACTTAAGCTGCCAGAGGCCATAAGCCTGGCTATTTTTCTGGAACAGGTGGAAGAAAGCCGCATGGTAGTATGGGAGTTGGAGTTCACCCGTATACGGAATTCCACTTAATCTGTTTTCAGCCTTATGTCTTCCAGGGCCAGCGTCCCCAAGTTAAAAGCCTCTCAAGTTCTCTTTGGTGAAAGATGATACCTCAGATTTCTATGGGGATGAAATTTTCATAGGGTGATGGACAGTTCCTGACCATGAAGGGTGGGAGTGGCAACGCATGTTTTCAAGCACTTTCTCTCCTTTGAGTCCCTGATTTCCTCCACCTTGTGAATCGTCTGGATCTCATCAGCACCTTTTCGGAAGGCAGTTGTGGCTTTTTCTCCTGCGTTAAGTCAGTAAAATTCTTCCAAATGGTATATGTCTTCAAATATTATTGTTTGGGCTTACATATGTCTCTTAATTTTTATATCAGGTTTATTGAGATGGAATTTACATAAAATTCACTTTTCAGATTTTGTCCATCTAGTACAATTGACAAAAATGTAAGTTAAAGTATATAACATGATGATTTGATATACATTGTGAAACGAGTCCACACATCCATCACCTCACATATTTACCTTTTTTTTTTTTGGCAAGAACATGAAAGTTCTACTCTCTTAGCAAATTCCAGCTATACAATATAGTGTTAAAAACTGTAGTCACCACATTATCCACTAGATCCTCTGACCTTATTCATCTTATAACTCAGTTACACCTTTTGATTAACCACTCCCTACTTTACCCAACCCTGGCAACCCCTTTTCTACTTTCTACTCTATGCATTCTTATTTTTTTTTGAGTCCACATGTAAGTGGTACTATACAGTGTTTTTCTCTGATTTATTTCACTTAGCATAATGTTCTCCAGGTTCATCCATGTTGCTGCAAATGACAGAAGTTCCTTCTTTTTTTAAGTCTGAATAATATTCTACTGTGTGTGTGTGTGTGTGTATGTATATACACACACAACACATTTTCTTTACCAGCCCATCTGTTGATGGACACTGAGGTGGTTTTGATACCTTGGCTACTGTGAATAATGCTGCAAAAAACTACCTCTTTAAATTTCACCATTTTACATTCCACCAGGAGTGTATGAGTAAATTGGTAAAATCATTGTTTCATCTTTTCACCATCACCTGTTATTTTGTCTTTTTTATTATAACATTCTACAGCTTCCCCTAAATTTTTCTTGAAAACTTTTTTTGGGGGGCTGCAACGCGTGGTTTGTGGGATCTTATTACCCCGACCAGGGATCGAACCCGAGTCCACAGCAGTGAAAGCCCACGTCTTAACCACTGGACCGCCAGGGAATTCCCCCCAATTTTTGTTTCTTATCATTTATATTGTTTTGGATTTTCCAGAGGAGAAGGCAGAATTCTTTACTACCTTAAAATTGGAATCCAGGTAGATCTTGCTTAACCTTTTCAGTGGGGCTGATAAAATCTGTCATTGGTGATATCCTGCCTGGTTCTTACCAGGGAATGTCTATGGAATGTTGACCACCACTTTGCTATCGAGATTTCACTGAAAAAGATTTGTACACCTGGGATATACACCAGTTCACAGAACATAAACTAAACGTCTGAGTTGTAGAATAATAGTACATGCTGGCAAAAATCGTATTTTCTTGATGCAGTGAGTTATATCAAGTCCATTTAGCTACCTGGCAGCAGTTATGGATTTGCCATAAGCATCAGGCTAAAATATTGTGGCAAAAGTTCTAAATGCATTAATCTGAAATACTGTATTCAAAAGAGCACTGTTTTCTTTAATACTTTATTTCAGAAATGCACAAATTGTGCATAGATTGATAGGTGTAGTTAAAAACTGTCCAGAACTCCAGCAACAACCAATCAAAAATGTAATGGAGGGACTTCCCTGGTGGTGCAGTGGTTAAGAATCTGCCTGCCAATGGAGGGGACACGGGTTCGAGCCCTGGTCTGGGAAGATCCCACATGCTGCGGAGCAACAAAGCCCGTGTGCCACAACTACTGAAGCCCACGTGCTCTAGGGCCCATATACTGCAACGAAGGGTAGCCCCCTCCCCCCGCCGCAACTAGAGAATGCCCTCATGCAGCAACGAAGACCCAACACAGCCATTAATTAATTAATTAATTAATTAATTAATTAAAAATGTAACGGAAAAAACGAACAGATGAGTCTAGATGTGGAACCATGTTATCTATTAATAGATTGTAAAGGAAAGGTGGAATATTCCATAAGTGGTGTATGAAAAACTAGCTTGTCTCTTGGAAAAAATAAAGATGGATACCTATCTTACTGTTGGGCTCAAAATAAATTCTGGAAAGAGATTTAGATGGGCATGGGGGAAGCATGAAGATCTTTGTTCTTCCTGTGTCTCTTCTTAAGCTGAAATATATCAGTGCCCACTTGGGAGGCTTCCCTACAAAGAATGTAACGTGTGATTGTGGATCTTACAGATGTTGGCCTTTCTTTGGCTGTTTATTGTACTTCTTTCTCCCTACAAGTAAGCCAGGACTCCATAGCACTTTGGTAGCAAGGAAGCTCCTGTCTTGTGGCCTAAATTTTTTACTGGACCTATTTTTCTTCTTTTTAAAAGTTAACTTTATTGACGTATAGTTTGTATACAATAAGATGCATGCATTTAAATGTACTGTTTAATGAGTTTTGACAAATGTCCACCCTTATGTCATCCCCATCCAAACAGAACATTGAAATCACCCCAGAAAATTCTCTTTTGCCCCTTTGCAGTCAATCCCAATCCCCTATTCCCTGCTCCATCATAGATCTAACATAAATGCTAAAAGGGTAAAACTTACAGAATAAAAATATGGGAGAAAAATTTCATGACCTACAGATAGGCAAAGATTTCTTAGGTGAAAGACTAAAAGCACTTAACCATCAAAGAAAAAATGGTAAGTATTATCAAAATTTAAAATATATCCTCTTGGGAATTCACTGGCAGTCCAGTGGTTAGGGCTCTGCACTTTCACTGCCAGGGCATGGGTTCAATCCCTGGTCGAGAAACTAAGATCCAGCAAGCCACACAGGGAGCCCCAAAAAACACACAAAAAACAATATATATATATTTATTTATAATATATATATGTGTGTGTATGTATATACATACACACATGCTCTTGACCTCTGGTTTCTGGTCCAGCATGTATTGCGTTTGGGTGTCATCAGTCTGTCCTAACAACAGGAAAAACATTGAGCATAAAGAAAATCAACAACTCTTTTGAGATCCAGCAGAGACCTTAGGTCACGGGGTAAACCACTGCCCCCAGAGTGGGAGAGTCAGACAGATACCGAGAGTCACAAGCTACTGGGGTGGAAGCCTTAGAACAGAACCCACCACGGGACCCGGTGCCGGGGCAGGAACCCTTCACCTGGAGCTGACACGCTGCTGGAGGCTCAAACTTGTGGACAAGTTCAACAGGTAAAAACACCAGGGGGTGCCCAGCCTTAGGGGTGATCCCACCTTTTCCTGAGTTTTTTCTCATGCATATGTTATTTCCCCCATATGGGAAGGGGACACAGAAGCACAGGGACTTTAATTTTTTTAATTGAATTTATAATAGTGAATAAATTTGTTCATTAGATTCAGAATTCAAAAAGCACAAAAGTGTAGTTTTTCTCTTATCCCCCATCCTTCAGGCACACCTCAGTTCTTGTTATTACATCTTTCCAGAGGTTTTATACACACACACACACACACACACACACACACACACACAATCGCACTTTTTTTCTCTTATTTTTTCCTTGTACTCCAATTTGATCCCTCCTCTATTTGGTAGCAGAATTGATCAACAGAACTGACATTTTCATGATACTGAATCTCCCAGTCCAAGAGCATGGTAACTTCCATATGTTCAGTCTTCTTTTGTGTTTCTTAGTCATGTTTCAAAGCTTTCTTCATAATAATCTCTCACATTTTTGTTGGCTTATAAAGATTCCCATATGTTATCTTTTTTTGTAGCTGTTGTGAGCGCTAGATTCCTTCCTTGGTCTGCCACGTTAGACCTGCCTGCAGAGGACCAATGGGGGCTCCCCTGAGTCCGTGTACATCAGCAATGTAACCATAAGCCATAGGGGTGGTGATCTTGACTTCAAATTCACTGATTTCTGCAGGGAGGTAGCTAACACTTACTGAGTACCTAATATATGCCATGTGTTATGCTGGTGTTTTAAATAAATGTATAATATGTATGTGAAGCAGATGTTACTGTCCTCACTTTACAGATGAAAAATCAGAAGTTCAAGGTCACAGAAGCAGTAAACGTTTGGACTCGAGAGCCATTATTTTCTACCATAACCCTGAGAGAACTATAGCAGGCAGTAAGTTCACTTGGCCATTGTTCAATATGAAATTTTCCCTCTCTCTTGCTAATTATATTCCACTTAAATGTATTTTATTAGGTAGATCAGATGCATTACAGTTAATGTTTTTTAGATCATGAAGACAGCATACCTTTTACTAAATGATTATAAAGAAACTAAGTAATCATCCAAATGATTTCTAGATTCCATGTGTCATTTTTGTTCATGCTTTCACTATGGCTTCCCCAAATTCTCTCCTTTTCAGCATTCCCATAAATGCAGCTGGCATGTTTTCAAATCCTTCAGTGATGTCTTCATGGTACTGGATTTTACCCTGTATCAAAACAACAACAAATATAATAGATTAATTTCATATTCTAAATTATATACTCTTCTCACTGTAGCAACAAATTTATCAGTACATCATGGGAAACTTGGAACTAGGAAGTGCAGACCCGGTCCTCTTTGAACTTATAGTCATTTGGGGGGCATGACCCACATACACAGTGTATGTAACAGATTACAGCACACATAAGAGTTTAATAATAGGCGTCAGATCACAGCATAACAATACGAGAAATGTCACAAGGAAGCAATTAACTAATTTCTAAGTAAACTGAACAAAAAATTTAATAATGTAATGATCTCAGAAGAGGCGGAAGCAGATGGAGCAGGGGACATCCTTGCAGGGTATCATCTGTGTTCATCTTTCCAGTAGCCCAATGCTGTAGCACCATTACCTCTATTTGACCCCTGAAGAGGCAGAACCTGTTCAGGAAATGTAAATACGATGGCAGTCTAATATGTCTTCCCTTCAAGCCAAGATCTGTTCAGTACGTGTTTAACATTCATTTAGGAGTGTGGGAGGGAGGAGCTCATTTAGTGAAGGAGGATTTTCATTTCTCTTTTTTCTACAAGGCACAGTCTACTAAACAGAACTAATTCACATTCTCACATTATTTTAAAGAGGTCTTATGTGGAGACCTAAGTCACCTTATACTATTTTTCCCTAATGTATCCAGTGATGGTTTAGCATCCTTTATGGATTTATGGAGGGACTATTTATTTGCTTGAGGTCACTCAACTAGTATGTAGGGAAGCTGGGATTTGAACACTTAACTATCAATAGAAAGCCCCAGCTCATTCCTGTTCTTGAAGAGGCCAAGAACCTGGAAAGGGTCAAAAGCTATAATCAAAAGTTTAGAGGTTAAAAGTAGAGGGTGAATACTAATATAAAATGTTAATAATATGGGAAATTAGGATATAATAGAATACAGGGTATATGGGAACTCTCTAATCTCAGGAATTTTTCTGTAACTCTAAAACTATTCTAAAATAAAAAGTGTATTAAAAAAGGGGGGAGGGGGCTTCCCTGGTGGCGCAGTGGTTGAGAGTCCGCCTGCCGATGCAGGGGACACGGGTTCGTGCCCCGGTCCGGGAAGATCCCACATGCCGCGGAGCAGCTGGGCCTGTGAGCCATGGCCACTGAGCCTGCGTGTCCGGAGCCTGTGCTCCGCAACGGGAGAGGCCACAACTGTGAGAGGCCCATGTATCGCAAAGAAAAAAAAAAAAAAAAGAAAGGGGGAGGGATGAAAAAGAAATAAGTAGATGAGAGAGAAATTAAACCAATTCACTAGTTACTTAGAACAAAATTATAATTAGGTTCACTTTGTAGGAAGAAAGCATTTGGGACACCAGCACAGTGGTGTCTGCTGTCAGCTGTGATCATGTTTGATTTCACCAACAGGGACAAAGAGGCTACACACTGGGAACTCTAAACGCATCCCACTCTTCCCAGCTCCCTGGAAAGAGCGCAGCCCAGCACTCGGAGAGTGTTAGACTGGGAAAAACACCAAGCTCCAGGGGATGCCAGGGGAGCAGTCTATGTCTTTGAATTTGGACATGATCAGGAAGCCAGGAGTTAGGAAGTATGGTACCACTTTTTTCCTGGGAAACGAAAATAATGCCACCTTGGTTATTCAGATTTCTGTTGACTAAAACTCCACATGGCGTAAGGTGGGAAAATGATCACAGCTCAGGACAAAGCAATTGGATTCTTCCTCTGGATCTATAAGGCATGGCTATAAGACGACTCCACTCTAGGACCTGGAAGAGCCATGGCAAAATATACGCCCCTCTAACACTCATTCATCTCGACAATGTTCATCTAGTGCCTATTCAGACTATTCTGGGTGGTGTGGATACATCAGAAAACAAAATGCATGAATATTGCTGCCCTCCTGGAGGTTACATTCTCATGGGAGGGAGACAGACAATTAAGTGAATTATAGTGTATATTATGTTAAAAGATGATAATTGCTATGGATCAAAGTACGATAAGGAGGATCAACCAGTGAAGGGGGATTGCAATATAAAATAGGGTCATGTTCAAAGCTTCCTCATTCAGAAGGCAGTTTTCAGCAAAAACTTGAAGGAGGGGGTGAGAATTAAGTAAGCAGTTACAGAGAAGTGGAGGGTGTGGGGAGAGACAGTAAGCAATGAAATTAGAGAAGTAACGGAGGCCAGATAGTGTCCAGCCTCGCAGGGTTTTATTCTAAGTGAAATGGGGAGCTTTGCAGGGTTTTGAGCGTAAGATGACTTGGTGTGATTTATGCTTTAAAAGATCAGTCTGGCTGCTGTGTTGGGAATTGTCTGTAGGGGTGAAAAAGTGGGAGAGCAGATTAGAGGCCACCACAACATCCAGGCCAGACAAGATGGTGGCCTAGACCAGGATGGTGGCAGTGGAGGAGGGGAAACAGGGCAGATTCTGAATGTATCTCCGAGGTTGGGCCACCAGAATTTGCCGACAGATTAGACATGGATATGAGAGAAAGAAAGGAATCAAAGATAATTTCAGCGTTTTTGAATTGAGCAACTAAAGAGTTTGTCATAACTGAGACGGTGCGGTCTATATATAGAGCAAGTTTGGCAGGAAAGATCAAGACATTTTCGGTTTTTAACACTTTAAGACAGAGATGGAGAAGTGTATTGCACATCCAAGCACAGCTGTTGAACAGTCTAGACTAGAGCTCAGGGGAGAGATCTAGGCTGGAGACCGACAGTTGGGAGCTGTCAGCATACTGATGATATTTAAAAGCAAGAGCGTGGGGCTTCCCTGGTGGCGCAGTGGTTGAGAGTCCACCTGCCGATGCAGGGGACATGGGTTCGAGCCCTGGTCCAGTAAGATCCCACATGCCGCAGAGCAACTAAGCCTGTGCGCCACAACTACTGAGCCTGCACTCTAGAGCCTGCAAACCACAACTACTGAGCCCGCACGCAGCATCTACTGAAGCCTGTGTGCCTAGAGCCCATGCTCCGTAACGAGAAGCCACCGCAATGAGAAGCCCATGCACCGCAAAGAAGAGTAGCCCCTGCTTGCCACTAGAGAAAGCCCGCCTGCAGCAATGAAGACCCAAAGCAGCCAAAAAAAAAAAAAAAAAAAAAATAGATAAAGAAGGAAAAGTAGGGCTTTGTCCTGAAGCAAAAGAAACTGATGCAAGATGAGTGAGACACGAGAGGGACACATCCAAATGCTAGATTAGTCTTTCAGAAAGAGTGCTTCTCTGGAAGACTCACCCCAGCCATATTTCTCTTGGGTTAAGAAGTGGAGTCCTCATTTTCTCATCTTGGAAGAGGATGAAATACTGTTTCTGGGATTGTCCATGCTGATGGGGATGTGGTTTCTTTATTGCGAGTAGAAAACAAATGTGGCATGAAAGCTAGGGGAAACAAGTACTTGCCTCCGAGCTCTCCTAACAGTGAAATATGTTAGAATTTCTGGAGATCAGAGGCAGAGCAGAATCTCACTTGATTAAAATGGAATGGACAAGGCCAGCTTGTCCACGAGGCCAGATAGGTCTCAAACACCTGAGCCCTGAGCCGCTGAACTTGCAAAGACTAATTGCTTAAAAGCCTAGATCAAGTTACTGTATCCAAAATATTTGGCTGTGGTCAGGAAAATGCATCCTGGACCTCTGCTCAATTGGCAGGAAGATTTCCCAGGACGCTAACTTAGCATCAATTAGAAAAATATGGGGGGGGGGGCGGGCAAAGTCCCTAATAAGATTGCCAGGTGCACCTGGAGTGTCCTTCTTGGAGAAAGTAACATCTTTGATTTTTCACAACCCAACAGGGAATCTACAAGTGGGCCTTCCTCAGCCTCTTCCACTCCCACCCACCTGTCTCAGTGTAGCCGAGGTGTTGTTAACTAGCAGGGTTATAAGATTTCATTCCCACGAGTGAAGCCCATCATAGAACAAATAACCCATTTATTTGTGGTTGCCTGGATCCTGATGGTAATCTGGAAGATTCCTTTTTGTTCTTCTTTCTCCTTTTCTTTTGCAGCATGTGGGATCTTCCTGGACCGGGGCACGAACCCGTGTCCCCTGCATCGGCAGGCGGACTCTCAACCACTGCGCCACCAGGGAAGCCCTTTCTCCTTTTTAAAATTTTTAGACCGCAGGTAAATCTGTAATCTCACCAACAGCACAGAATCATTTGTAGCAGAAAGGACTCTGTATGAGGAGTTCAGAAGATCTGCTTTTATTTTGAGTCTGTCGCTAATAGGATTGAAAGAGTTTCTGGTCCTTTTGGCCATCCATCTCCCCATCTGTAAAATAAGAGGCCTATAGGACATCTCTTAGAAAATTGAGATTTAATGAACATAGTTCTCTAGTTGATACTGCTTTTGGACTTATTTGGGCATGGAGGTGGGAGGGGAAGGTCTCAGCATAAGAAAGTGGAGAAGCAGGGGATGGAGGGCCTGGCAGGGCACAGGAGAAGCAAAACAAGGACGTCCTAGGGATGGAAAGAAAACGCATGCCCCTTTCCCTTGTAGTGGAAATTGTCAGGTGCTGCTGCAGGAAACCGCCCGCTACTGTCTGAAGGAAATGGCAGCCTGTTTTCCCTTCACCCACATTAAGCCACCGTCTGCCCACCCCCAAACCTCCAGCACATCCCGAATATCCTGAAGAACCCTAATTTTTTACCAGCCAGGACAACACGTTCTATTTCTAAATCAAATCATGGCTTTTTACAACTTTGCAGAAAACAGTAGGTAAAAAACTAAAACTTTTAATAACTCTGTTTCTTTCATATTTTCAGCGCCTGTTATTTCTCTATGTCAAAATCCAATAGAAGCTAATTTAGCACAAATATACACAATTATATTTATAATTATTTATAATTATTTATAATTATAATTATACAATTATAAACTAAAAACTAAATTTTTAGTTTAATAAATATTTCATCAAGAATATTAGGAAATCGGGCTTCCCTGGTGGCGCAGTGGTTGGGAGCCCGCCTGCCGATGCAGGAGACACGGGTTCGTGCCCCGGTC